ATATGGGACGCTTACATGAGTTATTTTGTAAGATATACTTCAACACTCGCCCTCACATGTAAGGTCCCTTTAACTCAAGGATCATGATCCACTTCAATTTGAACCAACATACTTAATGCCATTAAAGGTCCCCAAACCATGGGTCTAGCAATACACTCAAGCCATTAAAGATCCCAAACCATGGGTCTGGCTCTGATACCAAGTTCAATACGGGTCTAGGCCGCACCTGCAAACCAAGAGAGAGTGTCCATTTCAGAAGACCAAAGGAGGTTCCATCAAAAAACCATATGGCAATAGGAGGTTTAGCCCCTTAGCCTTATAAAGTGTTTGACTCTCTTAACTTTTATCAATATGGGACTCTATAGACGCCCTAAAAATGTCTCCCCAAAACCAAACCCGATGATGAACAACCTTTTATTGCCATTATTGGTCGAGTCGAGTATTTAATCTCAGGAGTGCTTAAAATCCATTTTCACTCAAACACAGTCTACAAATCAGTCCAAGTATTTAGTTAAAGCATAGTCCAACCCTCATATCAGCCTAAAGCATTTTAATCTATTTTTATTTATTTATTAATTAAGGTCGGTTAATAAATATTAAACCCTAAACCTGAAATAAGTCCGAAATAGCTGAAACGACGCCCAATTATCTCGTACTTAATGTAAAATAAAAGATAAAAATGATTTTATACGGAATTCCAGAAAAATTTATCTGTCGTGCCATGGCAAAAATGTCGCACCACGGCAGGCCTTGTTGTACCTCGGTAGGCATTGCCGTAACACGACAATTTTCTTGACTCAGTTTTATCTTTAAACACGCTTTGACCTTCTAAAATGATATAATTCACTGACGAGCCACGTCACAATTATTGTACCACAACAGAATTGTCGTGCCGCGGCAGCCTTTACTGTACCACAGCAGAAATGCCGTGGCGTGACAATTTTTTTTTTTTTTTTGCGGAGTCTCATTTTTAGGGTTTCGGATCTCACCCCTCTCATTTTCTCTATAAATACAAGGTTGATTTCACAGTCTCAGGGCACCAAATAATTCTCTCTTATACTCTAAGCCTAAATAATTGCCCTCCTTATTCTCACAATTCGTCCCTTAAGCACTCCCCGGAGTCAGTACTTTACCCGAAATTCTATTCTCAAACTAAGGCGTGAAAGGTAGAACTGTTTGAGGGTTTGGCCCAAATCAACTTTACTTTTATTTGATTTAATTTCCATTTTATTATCATTTCCTTGAAGTTAGTAACGTGTTTATTGTTTTATAATTGCAATCAAATGCAATCAAAGTAAGGAATCATGTTTCTTTTGTTCCTGTTATATATCTAACGATTTTTTGTCATGTTTGTCATATTTTGAATCGTTAGATTTATGGTTAAATTGCTTCCAATGTTATTGTTATTCTATTGTTATTGTTGATCAATATGTTGCATGTTAAAGGTAATACGTAATTGAATATAATTCTTAATCAGATAATTTGGACGATCGGTTTATGATCCTTTTAATCTTGTTGTTTAATCTAGTGATCACAACATTTAGGATTATATGTTGCATTAACTTTCAAACAATTTAGCCTAATATTATTTTGGAGCAAATTGAGTCTTTTTTTGTATGCCTTTGAGATCGCAGGAATTACTTTTCACCATAAAATCGAGTAGAGGCAAATACAAGCGAATGTGATTTCATGACTCACTTCGTACCATCATCCTCGATCCTCCTTTCGTGGTTCCAAACCATGTGGAGTTAGTAATCTCATGGATTATGAATGGAATGTAACCTTTACGGGTCAATCGTTGTTGCCTTTTGTTGTCCCTTATTCGTGGTTGCCTTAAATGATCCGTGAACGGTTTACAAGTTCCTTAAAAACTTATTAGCAGCTCCCTACTTTCCTTGTCCGTAATTGTATAATGTCAATTCCCACTTTCTATTATTGCCAAGCATATTCACACATGATTAAGTAGGCGCGCATCGAACGACGCTTACAATTTGGCGACTCCACTAGGGAGGATTCTTAGTTATTTATCGATTTGAGTGATCGGTATTTAATTGAGATGAGTGGATGAGACTTGAAAGATTCTTGAATCGTATTCTTGTCATTAATTTGGCATCGTTGCATATGCATTGAAGTTTTAACGTCGTATTTAGGTTAGCCTCGTAGGAAAAATTGAATAAGCTGATTGCGATTGAAAAAAAAGAGGCACTACTAAAAAAAAATTAGTACCGGGCAATGGCAAAATTGCCGTGGCAAGGCACAAAATACTGTGACACGGTATTCCTTGCCGTGGCACGGCACTCCTCAAATTTTTCCAGTGGTTCTGCTTTATTTTTTCTCGTTGTTAGCTTCCTACGATTTTTCTGAAAACCATATTTGTTCTACATACGTTTTAGCCCCGGGGGATTTAAGCTCTATCAACGCGAAAACGTTCATGACAAGAAGGGTTCATCTGAGTTATTAAATCCACCCAGCCATGGAGTCGAGTTCGATTTCATCACGAACTTGCGGAGCCGCCCGTTGGCATACACCCTCAAGAGAGGCTGCCTTGCTAACGCGTCCAAACTCTTAACCATGGTACCCTTTTGACACCCAAGTAAACTTGACCATAGTGGAATATAGAACTTGACCTTAGGTTGTGAACTTCATTGCATCATTGTGACTACGTGCCCTATGTGTGCATACTTGATTGTTTAAATTCTAACCTTAATGATTGTTATTTGTGCTTTACTTTGTCTATAACTAACGAATGCCAACAGACCGTACTCACATAGTAAATAGCGCAAACTCTAAAATTGACGAAAAACTGGAAAAAAATACGCACAAAAAGAACCTGCAATTGGTTACCGTGCCGCGGCAGAAACGCCGAGCCACGACAATTAGTGCCATGTCAATACAACTTGTACCGCACCACGGTATAATTTTCCATGCCACGGTACGCAATTTTAAGTCCACTCAGTCTTGTTTTGGTCTTCCGTACTATCTTGGCCCTCGCGTCAGTCGTTTTGATACTGCTTACATGTCTAGCCATGCGATCATACCACGAATCTTATAACATCACTTAATCACTCACGAGTCAAGTATAGTCCACACACTTTATTTTTCGACTTGAGTATTGCACCATGTCGTTTATGATCCTATACTAGGTTCATGCATGCGTCTCCCTTTTTGTCCCAATAAAGAATGAGTGGAGTTTTTCTTACCTATTTTCAAAATTTTGTCTTTCCCCCTTGCATTCCTATTTTGAGCAGTGAGTCAAACGATTAAATGAATTTATTCTATTTTACAGCACTTGGTCAAGGAGTAAGGTTCGATTAGTACGGTTCGATTCACAACCATAACAACCTTTTAAACCTAAGAGGCGTGCAAGGAAACCTCTATCGTCTCCACACTACAAGAAAATAGCTGGATTTTGACCGAAAACATCGAAAAATCCGTCAGAAAATGGCCTTCCGTTGGAATCCTTCTGTTGCAATACCCTTCGTAGGATATTGGACGTTTTCCTAGGGAATTTCCGTCGGAAGCCACATTTATGCGTAGTACACTTGAGTCACTTGGTAAGATAAGACAAATGGATCATACTTGGGGTATTTCTTAGTATGATTTACTTCGACAAGCTTGTATTGTTCATGTATGTTCATTCCCCTACCACAATCCATCCAACTACACTTAAACAACATAGTCTTGTACTCTTTTTCAGGACCAGTGTTGACCAGTTCAATAATGTCGTCTAAAATGCCGAAGTACTCTCCACCATCCTCACTTGATACACACACGCCATAATTCATCGTAGATTTATGCTTTCCATGGGCATATGTATGGAAATTAAAGCTACCAACAAAAATCTACTTCCAAGTTCGAACACGCTTGAAAGGGCGCATGCACAACGCTTGTAGCACATCCGAATTTGGTTCCTCCTCAACAACCTATCAACGTTTTGAATATAACCATCACACTTCCCTAATTGAGTAAATTGAATAGCAAGGAATATTAAATCATAATTATGTCACGTTTAGACAGTTTATATCACCTTACGATGAAACCAATTAGAGAATTTAGCTTCACATTTCTCCATTACTTCTCTACGCAGATAAGGTCGAGTACTAAGAATGTAGTCCTCGAACTTCCTACGAGGCCAAAAATAATGTAAATCAACATTGTAATCATTTTAGTTGTTCATAGCTTTGAACACACTTCATTCTAAACATATTATACCTTTCGTATTCACCAAGAATGCTGGTATTTCGTAAACGAACAAATGAGCGCACTCGAGTTCTTTTTCATCTATAAACCGAGTTTTTCCCTCATTTGACAAATGACCGCTGTCCTCCGTGAACAACTCTGGAATTTCAGCGTCTTCCACTGTTGATTCCACGTCGGCATTCACATTTCGACTGAGATTTTGTGTTGTAGTGTCAACCGTCGCCTGAAAGTAGTTACTGCAGAAGTTTGCTATCTCTTCGGTGAGATAAGCATTGCAAATTGATACTTCAACTCGAGCCTTGTTTCCAATTTTTCGTTTCAAATGATTGAGGAACATGCAATCATAGTTATGTAAATGTATAAACACGACATGACATTGAATCTGATGTAAGAAATAGGATGTGCATGGGTCTTTGATTTACCTTTCGAACGGAAACATCCATCTATATTGAATAGGACCACATAACTTCCCCTCATATGGCAAATGAATAGGTAAATGCTCCATGGAGTTAAATAATGTAGGGGGAAGACCTTTTCAAGCTTGCACAGGATCTCAGCTATGTTTTTTCCAATCGCTCCATGTCACTAACTGATGTTGTATAGCAACACAAATCGCGAAAGAATTGGCTGATCTTTGTTATTGCATTCCAAATATGGCAAGGGAGCAATTCCCTCAGAGCAGTAGGCAACAACCTCTCCATGAACACGTGACAGTCATGGCTTTTCATTGCATGTAGCTTACATGCTTTCATATCTACGCATCTGCTCAAATTAGAGGCGTAACCATCGGGAAATCGCAGCTATTTAACCCACTCACACAAAACTTTTCTCTGAGCCTTGTCAAGAGCGAATGGAGCCCTTGGCATGAACTCTTTTTCTCTATCATCCTCCTGAAGATGAAGCTGCGGACGTTTACAATATTTGGCAATGTCATTTCGAGCGGATGGCGTGTCACACATATGCTTTTTCACATCCATTACAGTGTGAATTAACTTATCAAAGAAGTTCTTTTCAATGAGCATGACATCTAAGTTGTGACGAATAAGCAGATGCTTCCAATATGGAAGCTCCAACAGTATGCTTTGCTTGAACCACCCATTCTTTTCTTTTTTGAGGCGTTGAAATGACTTGGGCCCATTTGTAGCCTTCGGAAGGTCTTTCACACATTCCCAAAGCTCCTCTCCTGACATAATGTGTAGAGGTGCACCCTTTTTGACTTTGTTTTTGCAGAATGCAGTTCTACTATTCCGAAAAGGGTGATCTGTCGAAAGGAACTGGCGGTGGCAATCAAATCAAGAAACCTTAAAACCATGTTCGAGCCAAAATGCTTTGCTTTTCTTCATGTAATATGGACAAGCTTTCTTACCAGATGTGGCCTAACCGGACAACATACCATAAGCCAGGAAGTCACTAACGGTCCATAGGATGGCTGCTCGAAGATTGAAATTCTTTTTCATGGAAATATCACACGTATGCGCGCCAACTTCCCATAACTGTTTCAACTCCTCTATCAACGGTTGCATGTACACATCCAAGTTGCCCTTAGGGTTTTTAGGACCAGGAACAAGCAACAAAAGGAACATAAATTATCTTTTCATATACATTGAGGGAGGCAGGTTGTAAGGGGTCAAAATGACAGGCCAACAAGAATATTGTCCCCCAAACTTGCCATGAAGAGCAAAACCATCTGTATACAAGCCAAGCCGAACATTACGAGGCTCGGAAGTAAACTCTGGAAAGCAACTATCGAGGTGTTTCCAAGCTTCACTATCACTAGGGTGTGCCATTGTGCCTTGAACTCGAGGATTTTTCGAATGCCATGTCATTTCCTCCGAAATGTTCTTGGTTGTAAAGAGTCTTTGCAACCTGGGTGTGATCGGGAAATAAAACAAAACGTTCAAAAGCACTAGGCTACCCTTGGAATTCTGCTTGTATCGGTCACTGCCACACGCCCTACATGTAGACAGCTGAGCATCATCCTTCCAAAACAGCATACATCCTTTCGGGAAAACGTGAATCCTTTCATGAGGTAGTTCCAAGCCCTTCACAATCTTCTTCACCTCATAGAATGTGTCGGCCATATGGTTGTTGTCAGGAATTGCTTCACTGAGCAAAGAAACAAACCCATTAACACATCTGTGGGGAAGATTATACTCGTACTTTAGACTAGTGATTCTAGCGGTCATTTCTAACACAGAAAACGAACTCCCTTCGTATAATGGCCTTTCAGAAGCCTTCAAAAAATGCAAAAAATGCTTAGCTTGTGCATTAGGCTCCTCCTCTAATGAAACACAAGCCTGCTCGAAATTCCCTTGATCCTGACTATGACCAAAAGCATCAAAAACCATTTCACGATATTCATTGGACCGTCGTTCAGGAACTATCGGAAACCCTTCCCCGTGACACATCCACTCATAGTAATTAGGTATAAAACCCATGCGAAACAAATGAATTTTAACCGTTTCTGGATCCCAAAGCCGTTTGTTCTTACATTTAGCACATGGACACCTAACTTCATTCGGGTTACTACTCTCGAGATTATCTTTGACGTATTGAATGAATTCATCAACCCCTTTCACGAACTCTGGATTAATAGTTTGCTTAACCTTCCTTTCATACATCCAGCTATGTTCTGTTCGTTTCATGATTACAACTTCTACACAACTCACGCATATGTATAATAACATTAGTCATAAGGCGTATTTCCTAGTCATTATCCATCTAAGCGTTATGGAAATGCAAATGAGATTTGAAATGCTTCCAAAGGGTCCTTATCACTCCAACCTAACACATCCTTGTACATTTAATCTCACTAGTGAATGTAAGCCAGGTTTTCAATTCTATGGAAAATCCACCAGCATTTCCCTACAGTTCTCCAAGTACACGATGTAGGCGATTAAACACACCTACATATGTACCCAGAGAAAATTGTAGAGAAATGAGAGGGCAAGATATTCCCTAGAATCAATAACAAGGCATACATTCACCTCCTAAATGAGAATAAGCGTACAAGGACAGTCCCAATCGGGGACTAATCAAGACATACTCCTTATGTGTATGCCTTGAACAGGTATCTAGGCATATGATTATGCAAATGATTCATTTAAAAATATATACACTAAACTAACATACATTATATTAACAACACTAACATATCATAACATCATAATATTCAAATAAACCAAATCAAACAAAACCAAACTAATCTAAAATATCATAATGTTAAACCAATATAACATACATTATATAAAACTAAAGTAAACTAAGCTACATTATATTAAACTAAACAAAATTAAACTACATTATATTAAACTAAAGTAATCTAACATACATCATATTAAACTAAACCAAACCAAATTAACATATCATAATATTAAACTAAACTAACATTCATTACATAAAACTAAACTAAATTAAAATACATTATATTAAAATACACTAAACTAAACTAACATGCATTGTACAAATCCTATACAAAATTTAAAACTAAAAAAAAACATAAAAGGGTTTACTAATGATTCATTTAAGTCATTGAAAATAAAAAATTAAAAAAAAAAACAAAAAAAGGGGGAGTTAGGAGGAGTTACCACCAGAATTTTGTGGTGGTTTTAGTCGCGACGACGGAGGGGAAACGGCTGGAGGTCGCGTTGGTGGAGCTGGTGGTGGTGGATGTGGCTTCGGTGGTGGTTGTGTTCTACATTAGTGTTAGAGCTAGGGTTTCGGGTTTTTGTAAAAAAAAAAAATTAAAAAAAAAAAAAAAACCATGAACAAGAACACTAACCGCCGGTGGCGTCAACGGCGACAGCTGTAACCTCTGGTGGCAATAACGGTAGTAGTGGCTGCGGAAACAGAGGTGGTGAGGGTTAGAGTATCGAAAACAAAAAAAAAACCACAAAACAAAACATAATCCACTTACCGAACGCCGGCCAAGGTGGTGCGTGGCAGACGGTGGTGGCGCCGACCGGATCTTTCTTTTTCTCTTTCCCTTACAATGGTTCGAATTTCTCTCTCCTCTAAAAACCAGTTTCTGGTTCAAGGCTACAAAGGAATCCTATGATGTTCCGATGAAAATTAATTTCGTCGGAATTAATAGCTTCCGACGGAATTTTCCATCGGAAGATATTTTTTGAGGGAATATTTTGTCGGAAGCTTATAATTCCGACAAAATTAATTTCCGTCGGAAACATTCCCAAGGAATATTCCGTCGGAACGTATTACTTCCGACAGAATTAAATTCCATCGGAAGAGGTTCGAGGGAATTTTCCGTCGGAATAGAGATTTTCCGACGAAATATTCCGACGAATCAAAATGCATCGGAAAATCCAAATTTTCCGACAGAATTTTGGGCCCGTCGGAAATCACCCTATTTCTAGTAGTACCACAAAGTCTATCTTCACCATCTTCAGTTTACTTCCAGTTCATTCCAATGGCCACTAAAGAAGACATTGAGAACATTCACAAGTCCATCAACACACTTTCTGCCATGATGCAAACCCTCACTACTAGGGGTGTTCAAATTCGGGTACTCGGGTTTTCGGGTACCCGGAAACCTGGTGTAGACACCTGATTGTGTCTTCCCAAAAATCAAACCCAGTGATAAGTACCTTTTATGTCTTTGATTATCGAGTTAGGTGAAGAGTTGAAGAGTCTCGTGAAGTTCCCTTTAACCTTGACCATTTCTCACCTTGACCAAAAATCATTTATTTCGTGTCTTTAAACCCAAAATACTACATTTCGTGTCTTTGAAAATCATTCATTTTGTGTTATTTTTATAAAAACGTCCAAACTAGTTTATTTTGGTCCATAATCTGGGTCCAATAATTGTGTAGTTGGATGGGGCTTTAAAAGAGCTTTTCAGCGATATATTATAAGCCCTAATCCGAGTTATAACGAGGAAGTTATGGCCAAAATACTAAACCGAGCCCAAAACGAACCTTACCTACGACCCAATGACCATGTGGAGGGTCCATTAACCTTAAACACCATTCCTAAAACCCTTAGGATTTATTATCAGCTTCTAGAATCCACTAAAAGGTGAGAATTTATCCTGTTTTTGAAAAGATAAAAATTAAGAATTTTACTTCGGATAAAACACTTGTTCTTTAATAGATTTAATTCTGATAAAACTAGAATACATACGGAAATACAATTAGCCCAATTTGATTGGAAGTCAGATTCCTTACGGATTCTACTTCCCAAACATATCGCTGAACGATGCTTATATCATGCCGCGATATAATTGGCGTTTCGCGATACGATCAGTTTTACTCCGAGTCGAATTCTGACTCTTTTTCAGATCTTTTCCTTCTTTTTCTTATAAATAGAGGTGTTTTTACCCCGTTTTTTAATCATCAACAAGCTTGATTACCAAAAATCATCATCTTAATCCCTCTCTAAGCTATAAGATTTTCTCTCTTTCTTAGCCATAGCCTAGACACATCACACGCCATACGTCCTTTGCGAGTCTTGAATACTCCAAGCCCTTCTCGTAGTTGCCTTGGACCTCGACGTGGAAGATTGATAGTTCTAAGGGTTTGGTCCCTAATATTTATTTCAATTCTTATTTGATTTATTGGATTTATTTCTTTCTTGAAGTTACTAACGTGTTTATTGTTTTGATAGAAAGAGATTCGAGACATCAAAGTGAATAATTTGATTTCCCTAATATGTGTTTATTCTTTTGATATAGGAATCATGCTTAGAATATTAATTTTATTCCTAGTATCATGTTAGGATGCTAAATTAATATTTCTAATGTTATCATGCTTGCTAGTATCATGTTAGGGTGTTACTTTAATATTCCTAATATATGTAGACATCTACTTTTGGTCCCCTGTCAAAACTGGAAGTGCTATGACGAAAAATAAAACCATCTTTGTGTTTGATCAACGTGAAGAACACTTATGGATCGGTGATTAAGGCTTAAACACATAAAACAACTAGCTTAACCCAATACGAAATGAACCAAAGCTAACTAAAACTAAGCCCGATCAGTAATTAGGCCTAATCCCAAATATTAAACCTAATTTTGACGAAGTTAGAGGTACCTAGGTTAAAATCCAAGGATGCCGCAGGAAAAACCGCGCGAACCTCAAGGAGTCGCGTTGGCCTGGCGCGCGCAAGCAACAAGGTTGCACGTGACATCCAACGCAACCTCCAGTGGTGCGCTTGCGGAAGATTCAGAATTTTATAAAAATGTTGAATTGAATCTTACCATAAAGCCACGCGCAAGACAATTGGTCGCGCTACCCTCAGCAGCGCAACTCAACTACTTGCCCGTAGCAGCCGCGAGCGACCTTTTGAGATGCGCACGCCACCTGCTGCGGTAGAATGTTTAAAACCCTAAATTCATCCATTCCCTATAAATAGGGGTGCAATACGAAGCTTTGAACACACAGAAATTAACCCGAAAGTTAGTAGAAATCTTGTGACCTTATGCACTAATCATTCCACTTGTTCTAAACACTCACCCCTTTAATCATTTGTTCTTACAGTGGAGGTTCCAGAACAACAAGGAGTCCATAAGTGTTCTAAACGAAGATCTAGGAAAGAAAAGTGGTAAAATCCCAAGCACTTAGATAAATCACCTTTTCTTTTCTTTTTAAAACAACTTTTAATCAATTAATTAGTGTTGTTTGATCACTTTAAATAAACTTTAATTAACTAATTTGACATAGTATTCTTTCGTTAAACAAGACTAGAATTAGACAAACTAATTGATTGTTTTATCACTTAAGCCAAGGTGAATCTTTTTTACCTTTGTTCTTTCACGAATTTAAATAAATAAGAATAATGACTTTTGCGATGTAATTCCTACGTGATTAATGTGTATAAATAAAATTAAATAACTTAGTTTTAGGTATCACGTTGCATATATTGTTTGGTGATGAAATTGTGAAAAAGGAAGAGCTAGTAGAGGCCACACTTGGGCTAGAATGGCGGTTCCTGCCTAAAAGGAACGTTATTTTATTACCCTTGCTCCCGAACTCATTTCTGGTACACGTAGACCAATTTGGGCACGGGTAAACTTATGATTCATGCTAAATATCCCTTGAACTCTACTTGGGAGAAAGGCATGAACGAGGTTTATGGGTTTTCCTATAACTCATTGGCGACTCCTAACTAGTTTCTTACAAAAAAGCATAATGATAGGATCAACTCTAATTTAATGTCCCCCAAACAGTCAAGAATTCAAATCCTAACACGCCTTAAAACGGTGTAAAGTCCTAAGCTTTTAAAGGGCCATGGGCATAAAGGAGAAGGATCCCCAATGACGGGCACACCCTCCTCACAATATCATGTTGGTTTCTAGTATCATGTTTAGGCTAATGTTTTTATTTTGATTATTATTTAGTGACATGCTTGGGTTTGTTATTAATCCGTTTAGTATCATGCCTAGGATCTTGCTAATTATACTATTGATGAGATGATGATTATATTATTATGATGATGATTGTTGTGTCAATAATTATTATATTGCTTGATTATCTATTATTCATTGTTATTGCTTGATCACGCCGTTTCTTGCAGGTTTAAAGGGAATTTGTACTTGAAATCACGCCTAATAAGATAATTAATAATTGATTTTAGGCTTAATATGATTTTAATTCAAGTGATCGCCAATAATAGTTTTATTTGTGCATTA